TATCTTCTAACCAGTAAATCTAGAAAAATGTTATACATAAGAAATACCGAATATGATTATTTTAGTAAATAGAATTTATAATTTCTAGTGTTCCAGCTTCTAACCAGTTTTCCTTTTTGGGGGGGGGGTTGGGGGTTTGTAGCAGAAAACATCACACAGTCCACAAAAACAGCAACACCCCTTAGATGGTGAGGTAAGTCTTTATAATCACCTTTATTTTTGAATTTTTATTGCAATGGAAATGAAATGTTTGGCATGTGCTTTCAGTGATCAAAATATTGCTATTTTCCCTCACAAAATTCTTTTTATTGGATAGAAGAAAACACAAGCCCGGGAGTTTATCAGAATCTGTAGATCAGAGGGTTTTAAAACTATACCCATCCATCTGGAGATTATTTCCTTCCCTTATCCCCACCAGAGGTATCATCTTCCTCATCCACTTTCTTTTTTTTTTTTAATATATTTTATTGATTTATTAGAGAGAGGAAGGGAGAGGGATAGAGTTAGAAACATCGATGAAAGAGAAACATTGATCAGCCGCCTCCTGCACACCCCCCACTGTGGATGTGCCCGCAACCAAGGTACATGTCCTTTACTGGAATTGAACCTGGGACCCTTCAGTCCGCAGGCTGACACTCTATCCACTGAGCCAAACCGGTTAGGGCCTCATCCACTTTCGAAGCGTATCACGTAGTGAGAGTTCCAGAGGGGAATCCGGCATGGCTGAATGGTGTTAGTATTAAACAAAAAAAGACTCCACATAGTATTTTCAACTTCATTGCTCATTTCCTAAGCATGTATGTTATTGATTATACTTGTACACTTGTACACATTAGTTAACACACTCTTCCTTTTTTCCCCACATTTTCTTCTTTAATGGTCATTCTGGAGAATTCATTATCTAAAAATTAAAGTTTTTCAGGAATATAACAGTGCTAAAATTCTCAATTATTGTTTTATCTGAGAAAGGTAATAAAGAGATACCTAAACTAGATATCATGACTCTTGAGTTGATTGTTTTTATTTGTCACTGGCTCACTCACTGACAAATTCTTCATGTTACTGCTCCATCTATACTTCAGCTTTCTCTTCTGTGAACAAAGAATAATCCCTGTTCCCTCTTTGCTTTAGAAAGTTTATAGGCAAGTAAGATATTTGAAGTTGTTTAACCTCTTTGGAAGAAAATCATTACTCAAAATCAACTTACTAGCTCTTATGGTATGTGAATCAAAATGACATTGAATGGGGTCCTGTATGTTAGCATCTTCACAATTATGTCTTAATATGGCTCTTTGCTTGTGTATTTGTGAAATATGTCACGTGTTTGCAGCTTGTTTTGACATTGCTTCATTTTTTCCACCTCTCCAGTGTCCCTTCCCATCCAGAAGGTCTCAACATACTGATGATAGTGCCTTGTTAGTGGTAAGAGCCTTGCACAAAATGAAGTTTTAAATTGCTGTGTCTAGAGATTGGACAATAGCTATTGTATTTTTCATTCAGAAATAATCTCAATATCATAAAACATGATGGGCATCATTATTCAATGCTATACAAAATAGCTTGAACTGTTTGCCTACATTACTATCCATGATTTATCCAGTGGTCTGTGTTCTGCAGCTATGATTAAAATATCTTTGTTAATGTTGCAAACGTAAACTATTTGCATTGAGAACCATATTGCCTTTGTATGTGTGTTGGGAGTTTTTTAAATATTTCTAATTCCAGGTGCACTTATTTTATTAATAATTAATTTAACTCATGAGTCACCTGTATGTTAAATGGGTTCCTTTACTCCATGATGCTAATTATACAGCTGTGTATTTGGCATCCTATTTTATCATTTCTCTTAAGCTACTGAAAATCCGAAACTTGAAAAAATTACATCTCCATGCCCATTTTTACATTCAAGGGAAGCATTAACTTGGAATGCTATATACTGATCTTTTTTAACACTGGTTTACTTTTATTGCCTGTTTCATCAGCCAAAAAGCAATATATTATGAGAACTTTATTGAAAGTTTAACTTTGATCAGCCTTGAAAGATAATTTTAACCATTTACATATGCTTTTCCCATCACGTTTTATGTTATTTTTTCACAGTATTATTGAAAGCTAGCAGTTCAAAAATCTGCTGTCTATATCAACTCCTGTCTTATGTGTTAGTAACTGCTGCCATTGTGCATACTACTGCATGAACTGCATACTTCAGCATGAGAGTCCTAGTACGTTAATTTCCATTGTCTGTTTAAATTTCTGTGTGTTCTGCAATCATCATTTCCTTTGAGAGAGATGAAGCACATTTTAACTGGGCAGTTTTATAGATAAATGTAACCACCAACTTCTGAGTTTTAGTGGAAATTAATTGGCATGAGAAGCAACTAATAATTTAAATTAATGCAGAGATATTAAGAGCCTTTGATGATTCAGACAGCTTACCAGAATTATCTCATTCTCTGCTCACAGCAACCTTAAGGTTAATTTATCACCATTTTACAAATGATTCCTGAGGCACAGAATGTGTCTTGTCCAGAATGTAACTTGTCCAAGGTCACATAGCTAGTAAGTGCCAGGCTGGGTTTAAGTCTAGAATTGGCTGACTTGAGAACCTGCATTAAACACCATGCTGTATTGCCTCCCATACTATAATTGAAAACAATTTTGGAAACCAAAGATGAGATTTAAGGACGCATATAGTAATATAAGTCTGAGTGTCCAGACTTTTTGCCAAGAAAAAAGTGGAATTTGAAACAGTACAATCCTCTTAGCATGGAACTTGAAATGGCCTTCAGCCATTTCAATAAACTTGTATTTTATTTATCAATATTCATGTCTCCCCTAAATGAGCTGGCCTTTACTCTTTCTCCCATCTTGGAGCCTAAGAAGGCCTGCTTGGAACAGGGCTTCTACAGTGACAGAAGTGCCTGGAGGCTGTGATCCAAGGCCATTTTCGCTGGCCATGAGTGGGTTCTCCGGAACCAGAGGGCCTGTACTGCTCTTCTTAAAATTTAAGGTTTATGCCTGAGTGAATGCTGTCTAGGCAAGAGATGTACTTACGTGTATAAACTAAGAACAACACAGTGACTCCTGGTGGCAGACCGAACAAAACCAAAGTAATCTGGGGAAAGGCAACTCATGCTCATGCAAACAGTGGCATGGTTGGATCTAAATTCCAAAGCAACCTCCTTGCTAAAGCCATGGACACAGAATCTGTAATGTTGTACCCCTCAAGGATTTAAACTTATTGAAGAGCAAATAAATAAAATGGATTTGTTCTCTTGTTAAAAAGCAGGGGGAAGGTGGCGCCAAGGGCCATGTCTCACATATTTTTGTGTGCCAGATAGTGTCCAACACTGCAAAAAAAGTCACATTTTTTTATTATTTTTAAAATATATTTTTTATTGATTTCATAGAGGAAGGAAGGAGAGAGAGAGAGAAACATCAGTGATGAAAGAGAATCATTGATCTGCCTCCTGCATGCCCCCCACTGGGGATAAGTATTAGTAATATTTAATGTCAGTTGTACTAACCTTCTCTTGGGGCTGCTCTTCAGGTTTCTGTTGCTTTCATCTGTGTCCCATCTGCATCTATATCCCATCTCTAGATACTTTCTCTTCCCTCCACTCCTTTTTTCCTTCTTTGCCAAAATAATGGCTTTTCGCCCTTTTACATTTGAAATTGACAGTAATTCTAGTACATTTGTGGTAGTGTCACCAACAAAGGTATGCTTGATGCCAAAAGTGGTAAAAAATTATAAATTTATTAGGTTATCTGGAAACCAGATGGGCAAAGCCCCAAAATGGCACCAGAACCCAGGGACCAGGAGTCAGAGGTTTTAAAAAACTCTAGGCGGGCTTTTTTGGCTAGGAATTCTCTGGGCAGGTCCAGATCCTAGGCAAGTCAGGGTAAAGTTACTGGTCTTAGCAGATGGTCTAAATGTAAGGGAATATTGGTTGGGAAATGATCTAAAGGTCAGTTTCCCAGGGGAGGGGATATCGACTCAATTATTTGATCAGACCTAACAGTTTGATTATAAGGAGGCCCAGGAAATCTCAACAGGTAAAGTATACACATTGTATTACTGTTGTTCTTTGGTACATTTCTTCACTTTTTTCTGCCTTAAGATAAATTATGTTGTACTGTATGCTACATGCTTTGGGGTGGGGTGGGGTGAGGGAAGACATTGCTACCAACTCTCATTAAAAATAGTTGTATTTATTTTATTGACCACCTACACACCTTTTTTCTAAACACCCACATGTGTTCTTGTTCATCTGTCCCCAGGTTCAGATATTTGTGTTCCTAATTTAAATTTCTTAAAATTATTCAACTAATAAAGTCTTTAATATCATTCAGCCTTTGGCATTTTGTTGTTTTAATAGGTACAGTCTTATCCAACCCCCTTTGTGAAAGTCCTGTCTTCTCTGATTTCCATCCACGACCAAATGAAAAAATTGTCATGTTTTGAGCAGCTTTTATCTGTGATCAAAATTATGTGCAACAAATACTAACACTCACTGTCTCTAATTAGTTACATGTAGGGTGGTGAATGGAAAAAGGATTTAAAGAAAAGAACTTGCTCAGAGGTAGAAATGAAATGCTGGTTCATCCTTAAGGTGTGGCGCAGAATTCTCATGTTCTGTCTTCACATCAGAACTATTAAATATAATACACCTCATTTGGATTAATTTTGAAAAAATGTTGTTCTTCCATGCTGGTTCTGCTCAATTATTTATTTATTTATTTATATTTTATTGATTTTTCACAAGAGAGGAAGGAAGAGGGATAGAGAGTTGAAAACATCGATGAGAGAGAAACATTGATCAGCTGCCTCCTGCACACCCCCTACTGGGGATGTGCCCACAACCAAGGTACATGCCCTTAGCTGGAATCGAACCTGGGACCTTTCATTCTGCAGGCCGATGCTCCATCCACTGAGCCAAACCTGTTAGGGCTGGTTCTGCTCAATTAAAATGAGCTCTTTGACTGGACTTTTTTTCTTCTGTCATAGGAACACACAGGACTCATTAGTTTTAAGGCTATTTTGCTAAAATTACCACACATGATGCTCTCTTTTATTTCTAAACTAGAGGCCCAGCGCATGGATTCATGCACCAATGGGATCCCTTGGCCTGGCCTGCATGGATTGGGCCAAAACCAGCTCTCTGACATTCCCCAAGGGGTCCCGGATTGTGAGAGGGCACAGGCCAGGCCGAGGGACCCCACCAGTGCACAAATCTGCGCCCCAGGCCTCTAGTGTGCATATAAGATCTTTGGTTAATCTCTTCCTACCCTCCCCCCTTCCCTCTGAGATTCATCAGTCTGTCCCATGTTTTCATGCCTGTGCTTTCTGCTCCTGCGTTGAGTTTCTGTGCCCTAGTGGTTGGTGTGTGTCATAGCTACTGGTCAAATGGTTTGCTGGTCGCTTAGGCTTTTATATATATAAATAGGGTTACCCCGCCCCCAATATTCTTTCTGTACTAGTATTATCTTAGTAAACTATTTGAAAGTTTGTAAATGACCTTTCCTTTTCTAATTTTACTGACCAGATCTGCTTGTTTTTTAAGATTTTTTAAAATTGATTTTTAGAGGGAAGGGAAGGAAGAGAGAGAAACATCAATGTGAGAGTAAGACATGGATGGATTGGCTGCCTCCTGCACGACCCCCCACCCCCACTCCCACTGGAGATCTAGCCTGCAACTGGGGCATGTGCCCTGACAGGATTCATACCAGCAACCTTTGGGTTCATCAGATGATGCCTAACCAAATGAGCCACACTGGCCAGGGCCTGCCTGACATTTTGCTAACATAAATCCTGCCTTCTGTTTCTTCTCTTTCTCTTTTGAAATTTAGTTGCTGTCAGGTTTGAAGCAAGTGGGCTGTGCTGGTACCCTGCCTCACTCTTCTGCCTTCACACCTCTTAAGGTATCTTTTGTTACTGTAATTTACCAGGAACTTTGGGGTGGTGGTATGTAGTGGAGGTCTTAACTTTTCCAGTGGATTGGTCTAACAGCAAGCAGTCGGGCGTCTAGGATTATATGAAATGTACTTAAGTTATAAAACTATTTGTTTAACATTAATTTCACTTAAAGTTTTGTGAAAGTTTTATCATACCAGAAACAGTCATAAAGCCTGTGTTAATTCTTTATAAATGTCATTCTATTTCTCTTATCAGTGGTTTTTCTTTTGTCATGAGTTATTTTATTTTGACTAATATCAAATTTACTCTGATACATGCAAAGTAATTTGAGTTCCAGACCTCAAACTGTTACTGCCAAAACCCTCTACAGTGGCCCTAGGAGATCTATTTTGGTAAATAGTTTTGTTGCTACACAGCCATTTGTTTATGTATTATATGTGGCTGCTTTTGCGCTCAGCAGCATATATGGAATAGTTGTGATGGACCTCATCTAACCTGGAAACCTAAATAAAGAACCTGTAATATATTATTTTTTAAAGGCCCATATGGATGGTAATTCCATCTTTGTTATCATATGATACATAAGATACGATTAATAATCCTCACTGTCTGTGCTCCTGTGGTTTACGCTTATTTCTTTCCAGAGTGGAGATTTTTCTAGTAAATAACAGTCTTCAAATATTCTTTTATTTATTTATTTATTTTTATTGATTTTTTGCAGAGAGGAAAGGAGAGAGATAGAGAGTTAGAAACATCGATGAGAGAGAAACATTGATCAGCTGCCTCCCTACTGGAGATGTGCCCGCAAACAAGGTACATGCCCTTGACCGGAATCGAACCCGGGACCTTTCAGTCCGCAGGCCGACGCTCTATCCACTGAGCCAAACCGGTTCTGGCTTCAAATATTCTTTATATTTGAAAATTATTATTATGTCACCCTTGTCTTATCCTTCAATAAACTCTGATCCTTTTACATGCCTTTCCCACCCAGCCTTATGAACTTTCACAAGTTCTCTTCCTTCCATTTTGGTTCCACTGTCTCCAACTACAAATATATCTCTCATTCGAGCTCTCCTGGGGCTGAGCATGAAACACATCTTACAGAGCATTAGGCCGCCTTTTCCATTTCAATATTCATTTGCTCAGTATCTACTATAATTCTCAAATGTTTTAGTTAAATGACAATTTAACTAAATGATAATTTCTACATCTTATATCTTTTGTTTTCCAAAAGACTTAATTTTGCTTTTTTGAACATTTTTACTTCTCTAATTGACCATAGTAGTTTCAAATTCTTACATCATGTCCTTCTAAATGCTGACCCCAGTTTTATAACATCTGTAACCTGATGCACCCCTCTGATGCTACATGTACCTGAATGAGTAGTGAAAAAAGTTTACAGTAGGTCCTCGGGTTACCTCAGAGATCTGTTCCTACGGCGCAACATAATGCGATTTTCGCCGTAAGTTGGAACCCACCTGCATAAGCACCTACGTCACTCACATGGAGCACATACACAGCAGTAATGAAGTGAAACAGTTAAAAAAAATTTAAAAGATAACAATTCCTGACCTTTACTTGTGGTAAATAAATAATAAAAAACATAAAGCACATATATACATACGTTGAAATGATGGAACTTTTTTTTGTAAATAAACTAGGGGCCTGGTGCACAAAATTCATGCATGGCGGGGGGGGGGGGTCCTAAGCCCGGCCTACTCCCTGTGGTTCTCCGCTCTCTGTGGACCTGCCTGGTTGATGCCACCGCAGGCCCTGGTGTCTGCTTTCTGTGGAGGCCTGCTTGCCCTTCGCCGCCAGGGCCAGGGGCAAGCAGGGCCCTGCTGTCTGCTCACTCGCTGCGGGAGACATTGGCACCCCGCCCCGGCCACTTGCGCACACACTGGCTCAGAGTGCCTGTGTCTTGGGGATGTTCCCACCCCACCCCCAGCTGCTCGGTGCCTGCGTGCATAGTCTGGAGTGGCCAGGACATTCCAGGACCCCAGCCGCTCTGGGCCTACACATGGGCCTACAGGCTCAGAGCAGCCTGGCTCCTGAGGACACCTGTCCTCGGGATGCAGGCCACTTGGTGCCAGCGCTCGCGCAAGAGGCTGCCTATATATATATATATATGTATGGAATAATCTCTACCTTTTTCATTTTTCTGTTTGTGCCATTGGTCCTTGAACAAGTCTTTATTTGGCTAACTAGCTTTCTCCTTTCTAGCTCATTTTTTAAAAATTAACCCGCCATCTTCGTTGGGTTAATTTGCATGCTCCCGATTGGCTGATGGGTGTCATGGAATGATGATCAATTTGCATCTTTCTCTTTTATTAGTGTAGATGGGAGATGGCAATGTAACCATTCGGTAGAATTTTTTTCAACTCTTCCTTCTCTCATCTAATAAAGTTGCTGTAACTTTATCATTTTTTTCCCTTAGCCTAACTCCTACTAATAAGTCTATCCACTGAGCCAAACCGGTTTCGGCATCTAGCTCATATTTTTTTAAAAATAAGGATAGTCTTTTGTTTCTTTATAAAGATATCCAGCTTTTGCCTCGTTTGCCTGTAAATTTCTTTTAGTAGTTCTTGTTATTTTAAGTTAAATTTATTTATTTAAATTCCATTTCTTCTCAACATTCTAAATTTAGTTTATTGCCATCTGTAAACTTGTTGAACATGTTCTCTTTTTCACTAATGAGAATGTAGTCCATTACCTTACTCAAGAATGCAGCTTTCTTTTTAAATCTTAGTTCTCAGACTAAGAGTGTCAGATCAAGGAATAGTTACCACAAAATTGTCTTCCAGATCAGTCTAAGAATCATGGCTCCTATTTATGTATTTATTTATTGTAGCAGTTAAAATTCCGTTTAATCTGACCCAACTCCAATTAGAAATAAGAGATTTCTGGAAATGCCCTAGCCAGCTTGGCTCAGTGGCTAGAGTGTTGGCCTGTGGACTCAAGGGTCCTGGGTTTGATTCCCGTCAAGGACACATGCCCTGGTTGCGGGCTTGATCCCCAGCAGGGAGCATGTAGGAGGCAGCCAATCAATGATTCTCTCTCATCATTGATGTTTCTATCTCTCCCCCTCTCCCTTCCTGTCTGAAATAAAAAATCTATTAAAAAAAATTTCTGGAAATATTGAAACCAAAAAGGAGGGGGAAATGGGAGCAGATATGTATGTGTGTTTTAAAGTCATTCTATTCAAAATATGTTAGTTATTGTAAAGTTGTATTTAAATTTTTGAGTATAATTACATATCAAGGCCTAAAAAATTATTATTCTAGTACCCAGTTATTCTTCAACAACTTTAATCCAACCAGCCAACACTTCTTTTTTTAAATTTTTATGTTTTTATTGATTTCAGAGAGAGGAAGGCAGAGAGAGAGAAATATCAATCATAAGAGATAATCATTAATCGGCTGCCTCCTGCATTCCCCCTACTAGGGATTTAGCTCTCAACCCCAGGCATGTGTGCTGACCAGGAATCGAACCATGACCTGGTTCATGGGTTGAAGCTCAACCACTGTGCCATACTGTCTGGGCCCAACACTTCTTTTTTTTTTTCCTTCTTTTTTTATGTTTTATTGATTTGAGAGAGAGTGGAAGGGAGAGGGAGAGAGAGATAGAAACATCCATGACAGAGTAATAGCAGTCAGCTGCCCCCCTGCCCCCTCACTGGGGAGGAAGCCCACAACCTGAGTATATGCCCTGACCAGGAATTGAACCAGTGATCTCTTGGTTCATGGGTTGACACTCAACCACTGAGCTACACTATCCAGGCCCAACACTTCTTTTTAAATTAGTTTAACTACATTTTCCTTTATTTAGGTAAACTTTATACCAGTTGACCTACCTCGTCTTCCTTTTTACAGTTCCTTTGTTCAATGAATTAAAAACATCTTGGATTCAAATTCTAGTCTAGAAATACCGCTATGTATAATATTTAAACACCTTGTTTCCTAACTGAAATAAAAAACGTTCATCACTCTTTCTTAACACATTAAATATTATTCTGCAGAGGAGAGGGGAGAATACTTTAGAAACTATACCAGAAAAATACTATTATAAAATAAAATTTTATTCTCTCCTGTACATTTCCCAATAAATGATCTTTTTTTCAGTCATAAGAAAGGCTTATTATACAATAGGACTGTCTTTAGAGAATGCAAACCTTGTATTCTATAGAAATAAAAAATTTGGCCTTAAAAAAAATATAATCACTTCTTAGCCTTTTGGCTAAGATCTTGTGTAGTACCTGTTCTTATTAAGTGTAAAAAACATATAAAATTAAATCAGTAGTCCAAATTTTCATTTCTAGACTTAATTTTGAAGGAAAGTTGCATGGGTTTTTTTCTCTTTTATAATCCTAATGTTCCCATAAATGTGGAGAGTACCTCTTGAATAATAAGTATTTATATATCTCTTTTTCTCCACAGAATGATGACAGACCTAATGCTGTATCAGGTTCACCTACAACAGAAACAGGTAATAGACACAAAGGTGCAGTTTACCACATCAAGATTATAATTCTTTACCAGGATTTTCTTCATAAAGTTTTTTTTTCGATTACTGTTTACATTCAATATTATTTTTTATTAGTTTCAGGGGTACAGCATAGTGGTTAGACAATCATTTTCTTTAAAAAGTGCCCCCCCCCCCCCGCAATATTTAAAGTACCCACCTGGCTGATAAATTACCTCTTAGAGATGAGAAATCAGACACAATTTTGGGAACTTTCTGCACATTTTAAATTTTTTAATTCAGCTGGTTGTTCAACTAGTCAGCCATTTGGTATGAACAAATGAGCATGAGCTAGCAGTGCTATAGGTTTGCAGGAGACTATATTCAATATATTAACGTTCATTCTACCTTTATTGATACAGCAAAATAACATGACAATCAAAAATACACATAGGGTTACTTTTCTGTGCCAGATTTTGTATTAACAAAATTATTATCCTTTTATATCATTGCCATAATTAATTTGATTTTTTTCATTTATTGAACTTTTGTGACATATGTCTGTTACATATTTAATGATTTTCCATCTCTTTTTATCTAATTTACTCTCTGGGCCGATTTAGTTCATCATTCTCCTGCATATTCTTTTCCTGCTGCTACCCAGAGAAACCAGCCCCAGCGCCCTGAAAGCTTCCTTTTCCGAGCAGGTGTCAGGGCAGAAACAAATAAAGGTAGGAGGTAGTGGCTAAAGGGGAAGGAGGGAATGCTTTATACAATGACATTTACTGTTACATGCTTTTATTTATTTATTTTTTAATATACTTTTATTTATTTCAGAGAGAAAGGGAGGGGAATAGAGATAGGAACATCAATGATGAGAATCATGGATTGGCTGCCTCCTGCACGCCCCCTACTGGGGACTGAGCCGCAACCCAAGCATGTACCCTTGACCAGAATCGAACCCAGGACCCTTCAGTCCACAGGCTGACGCTCTATCCACTGAGCCAAACTAGCCAGGGCGCTATTACATGCTTTTAAACTTCTACCCTAAGATGTCACCTTGGCAGGAGCTTTAGACTCTGCATTTATCTGTGATCTCGCTGACATTAAAGCAGGAGAATCTTGTTTGAACTTGTTGTTTTTAATTTTTTTAAATCTGATTTTTCAAGAGAGCAAGGGAGAGACAGAGAGAAACGTCGATGTGGGAAATAACCATCAATTGGTTGCCTCCTGTACTTGTATCAACTGGTGATTGACTGTGCAGCCTGGGCGTATGCCACGACCAGGAATTGAACCCTCCACCTTTTTAGGTGTACAGGTTGACACTCCAAACAACTGAACCACACTGGCCAGGGCCTGAATTAGTTTTAATTAGAAAGTTTCTTGGCCCTGGCCAGGTAACTCAGTTGGTTAGAGCATCAGCTCAAAACACCAAGGTTGCAGATTCATTCCCCAGTCAGAATACATCCAAGAAACAACCAATGAATGCATAAATAAGTGGAACAACAAATTGATGTTTCTCTCTCTCTCCCTCCCTGTCACATCCCAACCCTTTCCCTCTCTCCTTTTCTCTCTCTAATGTAAACAGTTGTTGTTTTTTAAAGAGTTTCTTTATACCACCTAAAAGCAGGTTATAGTGTTTGAACAAATAAAATACTTTTTTTAAACGCTTTAGAGAATGTTTCTCTTCTCTATATGAGCTCTCTTTCCAATTTTTTCTTTCTGTGTTCTTAAAGAAATCTGTAAATTTTTTTTAATCTAGTCTCTTTTTTGTGTGTGTTTTTTGTTTTTAGTTAATATGAAAAATTTCTGCCTGGTCCTAAAAGAAGTTACTTCCTGGAATTAAAAACATTTCAAGTCCAAAACTTCCTTTAATATAACTGATAGTTGCACTTGCAGTGAGATTTAAAATCAAACCAGAGACATACTGCTGATGAGATTGTAAATTAGTATGGAAAACTGTTTACATTATCTACTAATGTTGAACATTTGTATAGCCTATAACTAGCAATTTTACCTTCTGAAATATGTATACATGCATACCAAAAGATATGTACAAAAAGATTCATATCAACATTTTTCATAATAGCTCCAAACTTAATGTCTATCAGTGATAGAATGGATTAAAAATTGTAGTATATTTATACAGTGGGATACCTTATAAGCAAGGAAGATGATCATATTAACATACACAACATGGATAAATCTTATAGTGTTTATTATAAGAAGACACAAAAGCATGCACACATAAATATAGTTTCATTCATAAAAAGTTCAAATATGGACAAAACTATTCTGGTGTTAGAGGAGTCAGGAAGTACATGGTTGGAACCTGTGGTGGTAGAAATAATCTTTGGGTACTGAAGATAGCTTAGAGGAGCTTCTGGGTGTTAGTAATGTTGCATTTATTTACCTGGTTGTGTCCACTTTGTGAAGATAATTCATTGCGGTGTTCGCTTATGATTTATGTATAATTTTCTGTATGTGTTTTATTTTTCAATAAAAACATTATGAAGTGGACGTGATTAAGCAAAAGTAGTTTAGCCAAATGGGTAATGGGCATTTGTTGGTTTTTTATACTATTCTCACTTTGATTTTGTATATTTGAAAATTAGCATAATGAATTCATTTTTAAGAGTTAATCCAGAAGTAGAAAGTGCTATACTTGAAAGAAAACTGTGATCAGATGGATCAGAGTATTTTTCCAACACTGGCAAATCACCTTTCTGTCTTACATATTAATATTTTTTTAGGTCATGGTTCAACCCTTCTTTCATCTTCTGAACCTACCACTGATTCTACAGATCCCATAACAAGACAGAATACAAGGCAGAGAGAAGAAGAATTGGAATCAATAGATCAGCTACGGAAAGTGTGTACATTACCTTGAAATTACACTTTTTCATTATAATCCTGTAATCAATTATTTGTGACTTACAATTTTTAACAGAGTAAAGAAGTACCCATTGTATGATGAATGTAAAAGTAATTTTGCTATTAAAATTCTTTCAACTGTTTACTTGGAAAATGAGATGGGTTTTTCTATAAAGCTGGCCCTACTCATTTAAAAATGTTTTCTGCTTCATGTAAGATATCTTATAGGAGTAATAATAATTTATATGTATATACTCATATACATATCACACATCATTTATTTTTTAGTATTTATTTTTTTATTTTGGAGTTAAAAGAGAATCTAGTTTTTTTGTTTATTTTTTTTAATCCTCACCTGAGGATATTTTTCCATTGATTTTTAGAGAGAGTGGAAGAGAGGGAAAGAAATATCGATGTGAGAGAAACACATCGAGTGGTTGCCTCCTGCGCAAACCCCAACCAGGGCCCAGGCCGGGAGGAGCCTGCAACTGAGGTACGTGTCCTTGATTGGAATAAAACCCAGGACCCTTTGGAATGCAGGCTGACACCCTATCCACTGAGCCAACCCACTAGGGCTAGTTGTTTTTTTAATCAGAAAATTATGAATGAATTTCTCTTGTTTTATTTTGCACCACTATGTCCTGACTGCCATATATATGTAATTGATATCCTTAACCTATTGACTTAGATAGAAGGATAAAATAGGGATTATAAAGGTATTTGTAACTTTATAATTCCATTATGTCCTGTGTGTCAGCCACTCTTCAGTTAATATATTACGTGTTTTTCTGTTCTTTTAGCATATTGAGTACCGTTTGAAAGTATCTCTGCCTTGTGATCTTGGAGCAGCTCTAACCGATGGTGTTGTTCTTTGCCATTTGGCCAATCATGTGTGGCCTCGATCTGTCCCAAGTATTCACGTTCCCTCACCAGCTGTAGTAAGTTTATTATGTTAAAAAATGTTGGCTGTTCATCAGACATTTATTAAGTACAATGGCAGGCATTGTGCAGAATGCTAGAGATGCAAATACGAATAGTGCAGTCCCTGCCTCCCTACCCTTCTACTAGAGAAGAAAATGGGCACATAGACAATGACTTACAGCAGTGTGCTAAATGTTAGAAGAGAGGTCTGTAAGAGGTGTGCAATAGGAGTACAAAAAATGGATCACTTGTTTCTGCCTAAAGAATTCAGGAAGGCCCTCCCAGAAGAGGTAAAATTGTAGGAATTCTGACATAGTATTTCTAGATTTGAAAGATAAGGAAGATCATGGCACATTCAAGGAATTTTAACTTGTTCAGATTGATCCTGCACAAGGTGTGGGTGCAAACGGCAGGAGATGTAGCTAGAGAGCTAAGGCAAAGGCCAGCTCCTGTTTTTGTAATAAAATTTTATTGGAACACAGTCCCGCTTGTTTATATATTATATGTTCCTTCAGGCTATTAACAGAATTGAGTAATTGCAACAGATCATAAGGCCCTCAAGACTAACATTTATTTGATCCTTTAAGAAAAAGTTTGCTGACTCTGATCTAGAGGATTGAGTTTATAAAGCAACTGGCAAGAATATTTTTAACATTAGGAAAATTTTTAAAACTTTGCTAGTAACATCACATTTTTCTTCCTTTACAGCCTAAATTGTCAATAGCAAAATGCAGGCGAAATGTGGAGAATTTCCTAGAAGCTTGCAGAAAAATTGGTGTGCCTCAGGTAATAAATTCATCATTTTTATATTGCTTAAATAGATGGTTATTATTTTCCTAAAATCTTTCAGAAATGCAAGTATCTATAACCTTATAGGGCTAGCTTTGAACTAAACTGATCATTACTAACATGATTTTGTGTTCCTAGAGGCAATCAGTATACTTTGAGCAGTTTTCCTTAATAATTTCCAAGGACCAAGCAAAAAAATCATACACATATAAATTTATTTATTTTAAATTTTATTATTGAAAGTATTACATATGTCCCCTTTTCCCCCCTTTAACTCTCTCCAGCTCACCCCCACATATAATTTTAAATGTATTGTAATACAACTAATGCTAAGTAATCAAAAATAGTTATTCTGACATTTTCCTAAACATACCCATTTGCTCTTTGACTTGTAATACATCTTCATGCATAATAGAGTCTGTGTTTCAAAATAAGTGCATCTTCGATTGAGAATGCTTGAGTGGGTTTCAAGTATTTTCACACTTGTAATACTTTTCTTATTTGTTTATTTTGAAATAATTTTAGACTTAGAGAAATGTTGCAAAAACATCTCCGAGAGTTATTGTGTACACTTCACCCAGGTTCCTCTACTGGTAACATCTATATAAACATAGTACGTATCCAGACTAACACACACTGGGGCAGTGCTGTTAACTGAATTACAGACTTTGTTCAGATTTCCCGTTTTCCCACCAAGCTCTAAAACTTTGGAATTTAGCATTTAGCACCCAAGAGGCTATTTCTAGGCTCTTGTACTACTATTGAGATTTATTGCCTCTGACTTCCTCAGTCACAGCTCTATTGCCTTTAATAGTACAAAAAACTAAACTTTATAAATGTGATTAGGGGATATGAACTTGATACACTTTTTATTCATTTTACCCTTTTAAAAACAATTATGTTACACCAACTAAGCATGATACTCTCAAGAAATATAATATTTAGGGAGAGATCAACCAAAGGACTTATATGCAAGCATATAGGCCTAACCAATAGACGCGGACAACACGGGGTTGGTGGCACGAGCGGGGGGTAGGGGGTAACGTGGGGATAAGGACACATATGTAATATCTTAAACAATAAAAAAATATATTTATTAAAAAAGAAATTAATATTTAATGAAATTAAATTTAGAGAAATAAACAACTTGGTAACATTTTATACGTTTTTTTCATTAACCACAGTCATTACAGTTCCTGTCATCATTTTCTCCTTCAAGGAGAAAAACATGATTCTTCTATCTCCTTAATCAGAAATCCAGTATTGGCCCCCGGACTCAACAATTCCACTCCTTTTCTTGAAGTTAAGCCCTTGTCCTAATAGCTTTCACAACAGTGGCTCTTTTTTTACCCAGCTCACCATTCCTGTCTCTTCACTCGCCATGACTTGCGAAGGGTTCAGCATCACTTGTCCAACGAGCGGTTTTCTCTTTCAGCTCCATAGAGCGTCTGCATTAGTCAGTGTGTTTTTTCCTCCTTTTATTAAGTAGATCGTGATTCTACTATGTATTTTTCACTTTTTCGGTTTTTTTTAAAAGAATTATAAAATGAAAGAATTGAAATACGTTTGGTGGAAGTTAGCAAGGACCTTTAATTGCAATATGAACAAATTCAAAATTTTTTTCCATTTTCATAGTTTCCTAAAGGCTCATATTAACGAGCAGGTTCTAATACTCAGAAGTTCACATTAACATTCATTGCTTCCCTTTTGTCTACTAAATATGTTCCTACCTGCTCATCACATTACACAAGCATGCCCAGTACCTGCCCGCTTACATACCATCATGTCCTGAACAAAAGAATGTCATGGGTCAGGGAATGGCAACCAGAGGAAAGATATGAGTGATTAAAGAGAGCATACATAGAAGAATGCAGAAAACAGCCCTAAACAGCAAGACATGTTAGTAGAATTAACCTATGTCAAGCCTGTTGAAAAGACTCTGTTTACCAGTGTTTAGAGTCATGGGCCCTGTATGCTGGGCTTTATGGAACCATCATCTACCTCAAATTTAAAGTGCACACACTGAAATTCTTCAGAATGTACCTGCAATCAGCGAAATACAGAGTGCCTTAAAGCATGCATTTAATTCAGCATTTGCCAAGCAGTGGTGAATAGTATTTATTGAGGTCCAGGTTGTCCCTATTCCTACCAGAACTGTGCTATTTGAAGTCAGGAGGTAGAAAGCAATATAATTTTAAAATACTGGATAGTTAGAAAGGGTTTCTTATCCTTCCTCTCCCTCTCTTCCTCACCAGAAGGGGGAAATGGACATTCCACATAGGCCACCTCTTCCTCTTCTCTGCCTCTACTCTCTACCACCACCACCACCACCACCACTTTTAGATGGGTTCCTGTTATACTGCAACTTCTGCTAAAAAAAAAAAAAAATGAGTCATTTGCTTAGAACAAAGTGAAGGAAAATGAATGAATATACAAACTCATAGGTTCAAACTAGCATTATCAGGCCCTTCTGCTAAGAAGGAAAGAGAAAGCCTTTGCCTCCTCCTCTTCCTCGGTTTCCCCTGCTTCTGGGCGCTCTGAATTACTGCACATCCCCATTGATCTGCTTGACTTATAAAGAAAATCGGGGATGTAAAAATGATCACCTTTGTATAATGTAAAATTTAATATTATAAATATTAATATCAGATTCTATGTATAAAAGGCAATTTCCCTTCTCAATATAATTTCAAGCGTTTACAAGGTAAGTTATGAATAAAATATTAAAGAATAAGGTGACTATGCCCTAACCGGTTTGGCTCAGTGGATAGAGCGTCGGCCTGTGGAGTGAAGGGTCCCAGGTTCGATTCTGGTCAGGGGCATGTACCTTGGTAGCGGGCACATCCCCAGTAGGGGGTGCGTAGGAGGCAGCTGATCGATGTTTCTAACTCTCTATCCCTCTCCCTTCCTCTCTGTAAAAAATGAATAAAATATATATTTTTTAAAAAGAATAAGGTGACTATTAAAAACTTCTGATAAGATTGGGCATGTGGGTATTCTTTTTATTACTTTGCTTTTATTAGATATGTTACATTTGAAAAACTATAGTGGGTGATAAAAATTTCTATGTGAGTTCAATATCTTGTGTACTAAAATTATTATATGTTATGTTTGAGTATTTTCTTGCTATCATGTCCAATGATGTATTTACTTATTTAATTGCTTCATCTATGAACTGAAGGGTTTGGGTAATCTTTGAGACCTTTGTGGTGTAGCTTCAATTTGCACATATTAGTGAAGACTTGATTAAGATGGGCTTGCCTTGGTTTTAGAGGAACACCAAATCATCCAGTATACCTGACCAGCTAGTGAATTTCTCTGATTATTAGGCTTTCCTCCTTTTTTGAACCTTCTCAATTTACCTGGCTTTCTCTGAAAACTTCTCTCTCCTCAGCCTGCTCCCAGGTTTTGTCCATGTTTTCTGAGAAAGCTATTTTTTTTTGTTATTGAGGAAGAAAGATCTGAGAAAGAGGTTCCCTCACGAAGCCCTCACTGCTCTCAGACCTCCCTCAGCCAGCAGCCAGTGCTGTTCATGTATCCCGAATGTTCACACCAGTCACCATTCCAGCCAATTTTATTCTGCTATTTTGTAGTAAAATCAAACTCAGCACACAGAAGGTGTCTTTGTAGCTTTGTTTTTCAGCATTTTTTTTCATTCGTCATAGTAAAAAATGTTAGATGTATTTCAGTGAGAATGATTGTGAGATGATCATATTGAATTCTATACTCAACTCTGTATTTCCGGTCCACTGACTTTGTTTTTCTGTTTCCTTTCCTGCTCACACTTTGGACAGGACAATCTTTGTTCCCCCTCTGACATCCTTCAGCTAAACCTCAGCGTTAAAAGAACGGTTGAAACACTACTTTCTCTTGGGGCACATTCAGAAGAATCCAGTTTTGTCTGTCTGTCTATCCAGCTTTTGGGTTTTGTGGCATTTTATTGTATTTTAATGTTAACTCTCTGTATGCTTTATTACTGGACCTTCCCCCTCTAGCTGAAAGATTGCATTCCAATGGTTTTTCTCCTCATTCCTGGGCTTGGTAAAGGAGGTTTGTTTCTCACTTAGAAATATTTACATATGTGCTTTTATTTCCTGGCCATCGAAGAATTAACCCCTAAAGTACATAATTCCTTTCCTCATATGTCCAGATGAGCAGCCCATCACGTTAGTCAGTAAGCATTTATGGAGACTAACAAAGAGTAAAAGATCAGCATTTTTTCTCCTGGTTATTCATCCATTCTCCTGGCCTGTGGCCTTGTTTCTGTTAAGTGCTGAAGTGTTTCTACTAATACAGTCTTGAGCCTGTCTTAGAATATGACTAAGAACTTTAGTTCCAAAGGACATAATAAAATTCCCATCGGGCTGTTTTCCGTGCCTGACACAGCTTTAAGTGTTGAAATTGTGACTTGCCGAACCTCTGCAGCAGATGCTCATACGGAAAATAGCTGTACCCTTTCTGGTTTGTAGGGCCTGTGCTCACTTAAATCTCTGCACTGAACTGTGCCCTGAAGTCTCCTTTTGGCTGTCTGGGCATCTGGAAGGCACTAGTTATTTAACCTTAATAATTTTAATTTGATCAGCATTGTCAGTCCAAAATCATGTAGCTTCTCTAGATTGCTATTCTGAGCCTAGTGTATACATTTTAAACAGTACACAACAAGCAAATGATCTAGAGCTGACTGCAGGGGTAGGCAGCTGTCCAGATTTACTATGTGTTTATCTTTCATTGAGCTTCATTTCTAGAATCCTATTGAGAATTTAAAATCAGAATTTATGTAATTGCCAATACCATTTGAACCATCTTACTAGGTGAACTTGTATTTATAGGCTGTTGAGGAGATTGTATCTGAACAGTAGGTAAAGTATTAGGCAGCAGTCTCTGTTCTGTACCCAAGGCAATGAATAGAGTCGTTTTAGAACATCCTGTAGAAGTCAGCCTGGAGGTTTGATTGCTTTCAGTTTCTTCTATATTAAATGAGACAGTTACTTACAACATTTAAAACTGTTTACTGTTGGTGCTGAAACATTGGACACTGTGTTGGAAACTTTAGTTTAAATAGTAGTAGTGCCTTCCAGAGTTTGGGGGAGGGGAAGTGTCAGATGTTTCTGAGTCAGAGATCATTCAGTTCTGTGGAATTTTGTCCTTTTGAAAAAATACCTGATAAAAAACACATTGTCTCATGTGTGGTTTGAAGGGCGTAATTGTGCATTCTTTTCGGAACACATGGGTTCTCTGGGCCAGCTGGAAGGTAACTGACTGCATCTGGAAAGCACAGCCTCTGAGGACGTGTCTCAGTCACATGGTGCACAGGCCGCAGGGCACTCAGAGAGAGGTCAAGGAGCTGGCCTCAAAGAGACTGGGTCTCTGCCAGGAGCAAACCCTGGAAGTTCATTTTAAGTATAGATCGCCTATACCTGCAGTTGTACTCCAAGTATTTATACAAAGTCGATCATTTAAAAGAGCAAAAGATTGCAGTTACCTTTTTCTTTTTTATCTGGTAAGTATTTTTTTAAAAGAAAGAAGCATATAAGAACCAATAATTGCTCAAAATAAATACTTGCTATATTTTTTATTGCAACTGACTTTGTAAAACTTCCTAATATAGTAAGTGCTAATGAAAAGCTGAGAAAAGTTCAGTTATCTTTTTTAATAAGTATGTATAATTTCTTTTTAATGAAACCAGAATTCCACTTTCTGTCCAGTTTCTTCCCATAATCCCTGCCTGGTATAAAAGCCCTGGTTTTCACAATCAGGACTATAATGCAGAGAGTGGGCATCCCTCTAGTGCAGCCTGAGTGATGGCATCAATAATCTCGCATTCCTACTGTGTGTGATGTCCAAAGTGCTTTCTCCTACAGGCTAAGCCATCTGGTATAACTTGTCATCTTTTCTCTTTCACCTGCCTGGTTTGACTAATTTGCATTGCTCTTTTATTTATCAGAGATAAAGATGTTGCTTTCACTCCATAGTATTCTGCTTATCCTGTTGTGTAAGTGTATGTAACATGTCCATTTTCTATTTTGTAAAACAATCTTATGTACTGTTAGTTGTGTTAATAAAGTGATAGTGTCAGATATCATCTCTGTGTACCTCATATTAACAGAGGTCATTTTCCCAGGTACTGACTTTTCACATTTCAGTTGATTATTATAAGAGATGCTTATTTTTTTTCTTTTCAGTTCTGTGACGTTCATCCTACTTTCTTTTGTGTTTGTTTTTATGTCACGTTTTCCCATTTCAGGAGCAATTATGTTTGCCTCTCCACATTTTAGAAGAGAAAGGTTTGAGCCAGGTGGCAGTGACGGTCCAGGCTCTCCTGGCACTGGCCCCACCCAAGCAGCCGCAGCACCAGCTATCTGCTGTTTAAGGACTCCCAGCACTCCGGGTATTGCCTGGCCAAAACGGAACAGGACAACACCATCACGCTGCCAGCCGTCTGCTTAAATAGAGCTCTAACATGTTCTTAAAAGGGACTGTTTCCATGATTCCTGACAGGAATGTTTTGCTTCATTTCTCCATTTTAGGGGAGGTTATGTCCATTTCCATTGAATTGTTTTGAAGCCCCGGTTGGTTTTCACAAATGAAACGTGATCCTGTCATTGCCGAGAACCAACCCTGACGCCTAACGTGGCTGTGCTTTCCCGGAGGGAAGGGTCCCCGCAGAGCTTCTCAGAGGATAGTTCGCTCTGAAGGCACAGGCAGGCTGTTACCTTACCTGTTCCCAGGACGTCTAGCGCACTGGTCTCTAAACTTGGTTGTTCAGTAGAGTCTCCTGGAGCATTTGTTAACATACAGCTCCTATTCATATAGTCCGGCCCTCCAACGGTCTGAGGGACAGTGAACTGGCCCCCTGTTTAAAAAGTTTGAGGACCCCTGCTAGAGTCTAGAATGGCCTGGGTATTTGCATTTTCCACAAACATTCCAGGTATTTCATGTAATAGAGACAACCGTTCCAAGCTAGATATTCGTGTGATTGGGGGAAGTAATGACTCCACTGTTTGTCGGCCACATTTAAAATTAAAAGCTATATGATGACTATTTGGACTTTTTGTCCAAGGCAAAACAAAAATATGTAGGCAGCCTAGATTTTGTATAGTAAAACAATGGGACAAAGTTGTATTTAAGGCCAGTGTCCTAGGCCCTGGGCTGTTTGAAATCCTCAGGCCAGTAACCTGCGCTACTCAGCATTTGCTTCGACTTCCTTGAGCCCCCCTCCCTCTTCAGCCCCCATGCTGCGCCCAGAACACCTGGGCCTGCCAACACCTTCCCGTCACAGCAGCACTTCCAGCTCCCCGACTAATGGAAGACCATGGAAACAAAGCAGAAGGAATAAGGGAACAGCCAAGAGTCTTCTCTTTCTTTCAGGTAACTGTCAGTTCCAGTGGCTGAACTAAAGCGCTTGCGGCATCTTAAAAACAGCTGGCCGCCTTTTCATGCCGCTCCACCACTAGTGCCTGTTCCCCAACTGTGTGGAATAGAAGGGCCCAAGGTCTCTGCAGCACAAAGCCAGGGGCCTCTATCTAAGCCTCTGGGGGGAGTTTAACCCTCGTGAGTCTTTCTTCCTCTATATTTTGAACCCTTTTTAGTTGTCGGTGGTATGTTTTGGTCACTGTCTTTAAAAACCAAGTAAATAGCGTAAGTGAAAATACTAATTATCTAGTTTTTTTTCTGTTGTTGACTGTTCTGGGTTTTCTTTACCAATGCATGCATTTGAGCATAATGTTCTCACTCTTTTTATCATGTAAACGCAGCATATAAAAGTAACTTTGGATAAAATAATGTTTAGTATCTGATAAATCAGTGTTTTCTACTGTTCTCATAAGGAAACAAGTTCATCAGAACATTACCACTTGTCCTAGTTTAAAATTATATAACACAGAACATCTGCACTCAAAGCCCAATGCTTAGGGTCCTCACAGAACAAAAGTAAAATGTCTCTTAAGTACTTAGACCCAGACCCATTAACAGTTCCAAACACACCCACCAATCATGTGACTTGTTTAGAATTTAGTTACATGTATTTTTAAACTATAGGTATTTTTCCTTCTAGTCAACGTTAAACCTCAGTACTTCTTCCAAATTATAGCGAGCCATTTGGATGAAACTCAGCAAAGGACAGGACTCTCTGTCACATATTATGCAAGGAATAATCCCAGAAGACATACCTAATGCAACATTCAGAACATTTGCAACTAATTTTCCCAGAGGAATGAATGGAAATTTTAATTTATTTCAAATTTTACACATAGCATGAAACCTGTTAATGTATTTTTCTCAAATTTTACATTTGAATTGCTAGAAAAAAATTGTACAGTTTTGGTTGATAATGAAAGGAAAATATCAAATGTATTGAATTTCTTTTCTGTGTCAAGATGAGAAAAATCATGATTTTTTTTGTTGAAAATTATTTGTATTCAGTATTTCATTTGTACCTTTGGGTTTGTTTTTGCTTTTTATTTTAAGCCTTATTGAGGTAAAAGTTATATGTCACAAAATTCTGTTGCTTTATCGTAATGTGCAATTTTTTAAGTTGTACCTTTGGTTTTTTTTACTGAAAAATACGGTTTAACATTTAGCCTTGCTAGATACTAATGAAGATGACTTTGTAACAGTCCCACCTAACCGTTTATTTATGAACTTCCTATTGAAGCAGCGACCTTCCCAGTGCTGAAGTGTGAAGGAAGAGAAGGCTGTGCCCACCCACCTGGGTGGGCCCTGCCAACTACAGAGATTTGTAAGTCAGCGGGTTTCTGGACTTTCAAACTCATAAATGCTCGGCACTCCAAACCATTTTTCTCTGGAAACAACTCGGAGGAGGAGGCGGCTTACTAGCAGGTCACTTTTCGAGAAACAATACAGTCTTACAGCCAATCAAGGAATCTGATTTCTCTTACTTCCTGTAGCTCAGCAGTGACGAATGATGTGCCTATGCCGATGAGTGTGATGAATTTTTAAAACTAAGCACTTAAATGGTTATAGAAATGAAGGAAAACATGGGTATTTTGAAGGTTTTTTATATACATATTGCAGCGAGATGGTTTACAGCAGATTTTATTTCTGAAAATGTTGTAAACATGTAATTAGTAAAAGAATTTGTGAAATGTTGTCCTATATTTGTATGTCTGTAAATATGATGCGTAAGTTCTAACTATAAATATGTCAATATCATGTATGTTATTTTAAATTGCCTGTATGCCACCTTACACTTCCACATTAAAATAAAAACCAACACTTCAATAGCATGAGATAAAGGCTGATTGAAAATGTTCTTATCTAAAGCATGGTTTCCTTGGCAAAAATGAAAGCGTATCTAATTTCCCGAAGGAATGTCAGGTCAGGAGAAGCTGGGTTCTCATAACAGGCCCTGGAGATCAGAATGTGCTGTTGAGAGGAAGTATGGAAATCAGCAGTGCCCTGTATTTGGACTTAGATACAAGGTTTATTTATTAACACATGAAATATATGTGACTCTTTGAGACAATTTTTTCTCTCAGAAACTACGGGTTGTGCCATTGGAAAAGCTTTAGCATCCCAAGATATTCTATTTTGATTAAGCAAAACATGAATGACCCAGCGGGCTCATTCTTTTTTAGGGAAGAGAGAGGATGACCAACAATCAGCTTAATGTTGCAGGCACAGGTTAGGTATTTTAACATGCTTTGTCTCTTAGTCTTAATACCCCTTAAGGGGAGAATTGTTGAGTAAGCAAAATAGGTATAGACCCTAGTGTCTCACTTATCAAAAATATCTCCAAACTAGTCTTTCAGGGAACCTGTGTCCCCCATCTTTACCTGGTTGGGTTATGCTATCCTTACCTATTTCCCAGAAAAGGAGCTGAAGCTAAACCACCATCAGCCCCTAATAAAAACACTAAAGTGATGATAAATCTAAAAGGCAGGAAGGAACCAACCTTTAATAAAACTTCACTGCTGGACGCTTTATAAACATCTTGTAATTCGTACTGAACACTTCACTTTTGCTCGTAGAGCATTTTCACTATCGACCAATTGAATAAAATCACAATCAGAGACGTATTACAGGAATTACTGAAGTTTTAATGCATTACTCCTAACAGCCTGAGTTTTTTTCTGGTAAGAAAGAGCAAGAGGAATCTTCACAAGGCTTCTACAAAGACTTTCAGCAAAAAATTTTCAAGATACGAACAAGCCCTGAATCAATGCTATAATCTTAATTTCATGGTTTAAAACGAATATAATAGGCAAAGTGAAATAACCAGGCCGCACCTGGGAATGTCCAAATCAGAAACTACCTGTAGATGAGTTATCCGATAATAATGTTTCTTATTCCCTTCAAGTCCTTCCCATCTTCAGAATGCCAGAGGAAAAGACAGAAGATACTTGGTCACTATCTCTTGCTTCTCCGTCTGTCTTGGCCTCTACCTTTACCTTTTGAACTCTTGCCATCATCTTTATCCTT